TTTTTCACAAATTAATAAAAACTTACAATATATCTCAAAATTTTAGTTTCCACTCAACCAAAATGTTTAAAATTATGACGATACAACCTTATAAACCTGTGCAATGTTTTTGCGTAGTATGTTACAAAACAAAGAAATTATGAATAAAAATCGTTTTTAAAATGGATCCTACATTATTTCTTTCTTTAATAGTCCAACCACTTTACACTTGGAGAAAAAAAAAAATTACCTGTACTTTTATAGGTCATGCAAAAATCTACAACTTTTGCAGAAGTCCCTTTTTACGATAACCTCAAAATTTCCGAGAAAAATGCGAAAAACAGTTTTTTTTCTGATTTTTCGTTTATTATTTCTCATTTCCGCAAAAATAACTTGATTTTGATGAAACTTGGTGAAAGTATATCTTTCTGTGTCTTAAATAACCACAAATTTTTTTAGATAAAAAAATAAAGATGTTTCCGAGATATTAATTTTTCCGGTCTGAAACAATTTTTTTTAAAACAATAATTTAAAAAGTTGTACCTAATAAAAAAATTATACGAATTTATGAAACGTTTTATTACTTCTAATTAGTATTGCTAATAATAGTAAAAAAATTGTTGGATATTTTGTGCGGTATTGACTTTTATACTGTTATCCTGTAGATATTTTGAAAGCGTTTAGAGCCGTACTCAGGAGAAATTTTAAATGATAGCTAAAAACCTTTTACCCGATTACAATAGTAATATTATCTAATTCAGAATTAAAAATGACTTTAGATTTGATCATAAAAATAGCAGCGACATTTTTATAAAAATTAACCTGATAATGGCCCTTCGAAGATGAAACGTCGGATTGCAAAAATGTTGACGTCATTGTATAGAGCGAAAAAGGTGGCATTGTAAATATGTAATTTATTTTAAAATTCGTTTTCAAATAAAGCCAGAAAAAAAATTAAACAATTTTGCAAAATTTAAGGTTTACCCGGATATCTCCGGAACCACCCGGAATTTTACAACTTTCTAAACGGCATATTGTTGGGTATAAAAAACTTTTTTCTACTCTGAGCCACCCCGCATCTCTTACCGTTTCCTAGATCCTAATGCTATTCCATCCTTATCTTGGACACACTGTATATCTATGAATTCATTAAAATTAAAAAAAAATAAGTACACTAATCGATCTTACGGAAAAAAAAAATTATTTATTTTATTTATTCACTATTCGACTTATGTTTATAGCAATACTGTACAAAAATAAAGTTTTTGGTCAAACAATGAATTATGTTTTTCCGTACAATTGAATGGTGTAATCAGTTTTTGAATTTTTTTAAAATTAAATTAAACTAATTATCAACAATTACTGAAAAATTAATTATTGCAAGTCATTTACTTGTGTGATTACAGATTTTTATGTTTCACCAAAAAGCATATGTCAAAACGAAACCGGCAGAATTCTGTACGATGATTTGAAGTAGAATTTTTATTTGAAAAAAAGTGTTTCAGACCGGAAAAAATGAATACCTCGAAAACTTCTAAAAAAAAATTGCGGTTATTTAAGACACAGAAAGGTATATTTTCACCAAGTTTCGTCAAAATTAAATTATTTTTGCGGAAATGAGAAATAAAAAACGAAAAATAAGAAAAATACCTGTTTTTCACATTTTTCTCGGAAATTTTGAGGTTATCTTAAAAAGTGACCTTTACAAAAGTTGTAGATTTTTGCATGATCTACAACTTTTGTATTAGATACTTTTTTGTTTGATGTCAACATTCTCCAAGAATCCCAATGATACAATTTTTCACAACTTTTCAACCCCTTAAATCAACCCTCCGCCGCCCCTGCTCAAGCATTTATTTATTTTTTTCGTTTATTATAAGCCGCTTTACCATTTCCACTTATAAAAGTCCAGGTAACAATTTTCTTTTTTTTTCCCCTCTAAATGAGTTATTTCGATCGGTCTATAAAGACTTATTCAGATTCATTTAAAGCCAAAGGTAGCTTGAAGTCACCCAATATGAAATCACATTGAAGTTTTTTAGAATTACTGTTCCATATTGTAAAACCTACTGTAATTGCAACGCCTGATACATGTGCTCTATTGGCAATTTTCCCGTCTCCTTGGCGATGCAATTTTCGTCAATCAACAGTCATATCAGATGCTCTCTCTAAAGTTATTAGAGTTCGTCCAATCCGAGATAAAAGGGGGTCTCAGCATTTCAGCGAAATCGTCAGGTGTAGGCTTCCCAACAGAGTTCATTTTACCTAAATCTAATAAAGCTGCTCGCATACCCCAGTATATTGAAAAATAAATCCAATTTGCCAGCAACTTGTGGCTTTTTCACTTTAATTTTAAATTGCACAGTTCCGATATACGCTGGGGTGAGTTCACGGGAAATTCTTGTTAGGAACGGGAACAACAGAAGTCTACCCGCATTATACGATCGTTCTGCATTCAATATACAATTGCCTTAGTTATGTATTTGTTATCCATACTAATAAGCTAGAAAAACTTTAATATTACGAAAGGAATATCTCGAGGAAAATTAAAAACACTGTGAACCGAAGATCATTATAAGATCAAAGTATTTTAAGGCAAAAGTTAACAGATACAGGACGTTCCGGCTGTTTTGAAAGTACTGCCTCAGATTGCAAGTTTTGAGCATGCCTTTTTAGAAATTGTATAACGATGTGTATAAAGGGTGTTTCAGTTCAGGTGAATCAAACTTTAACCACAAATAGAACGCAATAAATAATTCAGAATTGCCCTATAAAGCAAAGGGCTAAGTCTCATCGTTTTCACTGTACAGGGCCGTATTGGTCGGTTTTTAAAATCATATTATTTACGAAAGTTTTGGAATGCTTATAACAAATTGTTTCAAATTTGGTGTGGTGTTAACATTTACACATGTTCATAATTTACTGTAAAATTTACAAATTTTTGTAGGTCAGTGGCGTAGGAATGGGTAGTAAAGTGGAATTTTTTTACCCCAATTTCTACGCCAATCATTTGAGATTCATTTTTAGATTCTACATAAAAAGGTATACTTTTTGAAAATCGCTATATCGTGTATCGTTTTATCGAAAATCCCAGTCCCATTCAACAGAGATTTTCGGTAAAACGGTACACTATACAATATTACAACAATTATACCATTTTTATGTAGAATTATTCACGGAATATAAAAATGAATCCCAAATGATTATTAGGTCATTGGCGTAGAAGTTGGGGTAAAAAAATCCCGTTTTACTACCCATTTCTACGCCACTGACCTACAAAAATTTGTAAATTTTACAGTAAATTATGCACATGTCTAAATGTTAATACCACACCAAATTTGAATCAATTTGTTATAAGCTTATTAAAGATTTCATAAATATGATTTTAAAAACTGACCAATACGGCCCTGTACAGTGAAAACGGTGATACTTAGACCCTTGCTTTCTGAATTATTTATTGTGTTCTGTTTGTGGTTAAAGTTTGATTCCCTCGATCTGAAACATCCTGTATCGCGCAGTTTTTACCGATAATAATAATAATTATTATTATGTGTCTACTCCTTATACTAATAGCAAGGATTTACCCAGAAGACTAAGATTTGTGTGGGAGGAGGGGCGGCATACTATTATTATATAGGCCGCATGTGCGCCCAGGAACGACTTACGTCATTAATTAGAGAGATGGTCAAACGCCAACCGGTATCAATCTCTCACATTGATCCAAGCCAACATTCTTTCACCCTGCCATACCCGCAGAGAGGGTCCCTAATTTCTCTACGAATATAGCTGATCACTACCTTATCACTATGTTCATTAATTCATTGTTTTTGAAGGACCATTTTAGTAGGTTTATTCGAACGAAAACACAGTTAAAATAAGAATCTGCAAAAATGATTTCAGAACCTAAACCAATCAAAAACGATGGTGAAGTAATGATGTATGTGTTTGGTAGATTTAGAATCAGGTTCGAGATTTTTTCAATTTCAATTATCTTGCATTGTACATTTTCCATTTCGATGCCGAACAAGAAATCTTGTATTTGTAAATCTCAACTACTATGTCTATTAAAAACTGTTTCTATCTTAGGACATTTAGTGATATGTATTATATTTTCACTTAAATATGTCCTGTATATTTTGTATATTTGTACCTGTTCATATTCCAGTCTGATATACATTTTCGATTTGCATAAGGAAACAAGGTGGTGAGTTATAAGTGCTATCTCCATTCCTATTATTTTACAACTACTACTGATAAGACTTATTCCAAGGAAACATTATAAAGCTTCCTGTTTGGAAACGTTTCAATAGATTCCATTTCCCAGAATGTTTATATCTCGACAAAATTGCAGCATAAAGTTACAGCGACTATTACCTTAAATTTGATAAAGCAACTGGAAAATGTAATAACATAAAGCACGCGTGTTCAAATTTGCTCGGAGTGGACTCGACTCTCATTTTAAAAGCTTCTTTACTCGATTTACTGCCCTTAGGTCAATAAAATACAAATAATTTCCCGATAAACGTAAAAACGTACAGCAGAGTTCGTCATCATTTCGAAATGAGATACCTTAAGTTAGTTGGAAGGGAACAAATAACACTGAAGGAAACTTTCAATGTTCAATTTTAACTTCATCAATTTGTATTTTGTTTGTCAGTAAATATAAAAGTGTCTTTCCCGCCACTTAATATTTTGAATGTGGATCAGAAATTGAACAACCTCCAAAAGATCATTCAGCAAAGTTAGTATCTGTGTGGTTGGTGGTGCTATTGGAATTAATCACAATTACTTTTTAAAACTTTAAATTCTGGGTGACTTTGTTCCTGTAACTAAATGTTATGCGCCAATATATTAAATTTAATTAATGCTGATTTAAATTTAGGCGGGAAATACTTTAACTTTTCTGTTTATTTGTTGTAGAACTAAGTGAAATTGAGAGATGTATAATTTAAAACATTCATATACTTACCTGACTTATTTTGTGGTTTGGGGCGAAATGAAAGTCAAAAATCTTTCGGCATGTTTACATTTATTTCAAATCAACTATATAAAAGTGAAAAAGTTACCAAGTGAAAGACGATCGGTAGTAGATGTGTGTATGGCTTACAATTGTCCAGCCTATACACCAGACCACTTACACAATTTTCCATACATCACAAAAAAAATAATAATAATATATAGATATATGTATGTTTATAAACATGTATAAAACGTATGACATTTATTATATCTGAAAAATGATAAAATATCCACAGCGCCAGTCAAAATATATCACTTAAGCGATACATTTTGATAGGAACTGCGCTACTGATAAGCAACACGTAACTGAAATATTGGTCATTCGAGGTTATCACAGGCCTCGCGCCAAGATTGGTCCAGGGGTCAATACATCAATATTATATTCAATATACACGGCGGAACATACAGTAAAATTGGGCTTTACTCCAATGTTGTTGGAAATACAAAGATGTAGCACTTTTCGCGACGGGGCGGGTTGACTGCTTTATAAGACTAACGACATCGGAACAAAATGCGTTATTATATAGAATCAGAATTATTCTTATGAAAATAGAAATTCTCCAAAACCTACAAGTCAAATATTAGCATACTAGACCAGTAAAGGAAACAATGAATTTCTACAAATTGGATAATAATTTAACTGATCTTGTAGGTTCTTCAAGGCTTAGGTAACGAGTAAAATTGACGGACTTTTTGAACATTTTTGGGAAAATTTCTCGGAGGCCATATGAATAAGACTGAGTTGTAGATATTACATGAGTACACAGCGTTTTAAATCATATGGCAATGGCATATTATATCTATATCTATATGGGATGAATAAAATCAATAAACAATAACACACTTACCACAATAAAATTTATGAAATAATAAAAAAAAAATGAAAACCTAGCCAACCCTAAAACACAACGAGCGACTATACTGACTAGGGACATAACTATAAACAAAACATTTGACAAAATGTATCAGAGATCAGTGGAAACAGGAGTTGATGTAAAAGCACTTTGAAGTGCGTTTTACATGCATATACTGCCTCTTCGGCAAATCACAGAGACGCTTTGAAGAGCCATCTACAACGCAGCTTTTTCTTAACGCTACTACTTACACCTACAAAATACTAATCTAGTTAAATTGCTTTAATTTCTTTAAAAATATCAGCATTTATATTTATATAATCCTATATCGTATGTAAAAAATAAAAGAAAGCTATGTAACATGCACGTAGCTGGAGCTCACATCAACTAGACCGGAAACAATATCAAAAAACCACACCGGCACAACTTCCCAAATCTGACACATTAACATTTTAATATTTCCAATGCTTATTTATTTCTAATTTGACCATATTTAATTATTAGCCAAGTTTTCTAATTGAATTCGAAAGAGTGGTGAAAATTTTTGAGATACTTTGTGCTAGCGGTATTCGTTTGAGTCTAGTTTTTTCGAGCTGCTGGGCGAGTCGGTCCAGGCGTGAAACTTTAACCAGCATACTGTCCCGACTTGGCCCCCATGTATTTACACCTCAGGTGCGGGCTGATCGGCACTTTGCGGCACACGTCCAGCTTTCGCCGCACCGCGCTATTCTAACTACGGAGATCATTTGAAAACCATTAGGGCGCAGGCAAATCCTGCCGCTCCTTACTTAAACTTACTACAACAGAGTCAGACTCTAGCGAAAGCGAACAAAGAGACGACGCGCCCACCTGCTTGGCTCTGTTCTTGGCCGTTTGGCACGATTCAATCTTTGGCTATACTGAATCCAACTTTCAAATTTATATACAATTAATTTACAATTATAAATCTACCGAATCAGAAAATAATAAATCAAATGCAGGGGCCCACACCGCAGGACGTTACAACCACAAACCACCAAGACCAACGCAAATTTAAAAGGTTTGGCCATACTTTAGATTCTGCCCTACCAGTTTCCAATTATAGAAAAATATTTAAAATCTTTGTATTCGATAGAAACGCCAAATCTTTAACGCATTTGATCTTAGGGATTTATGGCTACTATCTGTTAAACAAATGGGCGCCCTGAACACTCTAACCGTACGAATTCCTGAGAGTGGCCGCCGTTATGTGCGGACTCGGCCCTACTGGATGAGATCAACGCTTTGATTGGTTTTCCTCTCTTTGGAACTGTGCACAAATGACCTACGTACACCTGCGTTAGGTAAATAATATACTAAACCTATACACTCACGTGATTATATTATATACAATACTATAAATGAAATAAAGACACACCGAAAGTATATCATATATAAAAAAAACAATAATAAAGCAAACATAATATATGGGAGCGGTTTCTAATCTACGAATTATCGATTATCAATCACTTTTGCTTTGGATAAAGTACGCTGCGGCCATGGCGAGGCAGTTACCGTGCTCGGAACAAATGCCAGCCTACGAAGCATATCATGGCGGTCCACAGAGGGGCTGAGACCGGTCCTGGCACGAATTTTGACAGGATGCCGTCGCCGGACGCCTGCTCTGGTTCGGAATCAGGAGAGCCGTCGGCCTGGAAAAGAGAAAAAAATATTCACTCTTCCGGTACACAATAAACCAATATCAAGTTAAAATTGTGTGCAAATTATGAAAGATAAGACAGGATGAAAAATGCACATTACAAAATTGTTACAAATTTTATTTTGCACTTCGCGGATATAAAGTGCTGGTTTAAAAGTAATGTGTCACTTTTAATCCCAGAGATTAAATTCATTTTTTGCAGTGGATTTAAAGTGCTGTTTTCAAAAGAAATTTTATTTTGCACTTCGCGGATGTAAAGTGCTGGTTTAAAAGTAATGTGTCACTTTTAATCCGAGATTAAATTCATTTTTTGTAGTGGATTTAAAGTGCTGTTTTGAATAGAAATTTTACTTTGCACTTCGTGGATATAAAGTACTGGTTTAAAAGTAATGTGCCACTTTTAATCCCAAAGATTAAATTAATTTTTTACAGTGGATTTAAAGTGCTGTTTTCAAAACTTTGTTTCAGAGAGTAGTGCCACTTATTTGCACTGTGGGGATTAAAAGTGCCTAGTTGCAGGTTATAAATATAAAGTGTCAATTATATTAATTCTCAAAGGGTTAAATTTATTTTTAATTCTGTCAAAAACAAGTTAATATTTAATGCAATTCAAACGGTTATTTTGACAGCTAATAGGTGTATATACGGTATCTACATTTAATATTTTTGACATATGCAATAGTTTTTGTATTGCGTGGATTAAATGTGCTGTTATAATCTCTAATATCAGGGTGTAAAATGTCAGCTTTAGTCTCCGATGAATTAAATTTAATTTTTGCACATGGATTAAAAGTACTGTTTTTATTCACTAGCTCCAGGGTTTAAAGTGCCAACTTTAATCTTCGATGAATTAAATTTACTTTTAAGTTTTCTAAAACCAAACAAGTCTTTAATTAACGCATTTTAAATGGTTGTCAAAGTATCTTAATAGTTTATGGGATGTATTATGGTATCTACGTTTGATATTTATGACATATATCAATATTTTAGGGTTAAAAGTGCTGTATTAATTTCTAATTTTAAGTTTCTAGGTATTAAATTTACATTCTACATGCCGTGAGTTAAAAGTGCTTTAATCACTAGTTCTAGGGAATAAATTATATTTTAATCACATAGGTATTACGTATAAAAGTGACTTTTAATTGTTTTAGAATTAAATGAATTGCAAACTATTGCAATTCAAGTATGTACTTGCCAAAGTAATTTGAATTAGCTGTTACATATATCAGATCTATGTAAAATAATTTAATTAATAATTCATTTTAGTGTTTTCCGGTCAAGGATATCTTGATTAAATAATAGAATTAATATTCACTCCTGGCATTAAGGGATGCATTTTAGTGAGTAAGGATATAATAATTCTTTTTGCAACTAATTCTCACGGAATTAAAAGAAAATTTAATCTCTAAAAGATAATAGCATACTTTGATAAAGAACTTGTCACTAAATATAGTTCCTTGATATATGTATAATATGCTTGCTTTGCTCCAATGGACGAATTCCAAAATAAATATTTTTTATATAGACAAAAATGCTCACTTATATTTAAATAGTACCAAATACAATAGTGCAGGTACCTGCTAACTGTACTGAAGTAAAGTAAATATCTAAAAATCCATGTTTGGTTATTAAATATAATCGAAACGCGTGTTTACGTTCGTAACACTAAGTAAACATCAAACCAAACTCTGTGGTTTTTGTTACATTATACCCTCGCTTATCAGTAGATAGTGACCCCCTGCGTAAAATGGCTTTAAATGAAATTGCATCGCAGATAGAAGTCCGCATTCTGCTGCACCAGAATTGAGTTTCATGGAATTAAAATGCACGCGAGAAGTAGTGCGCTTGTGTTTAAAGCGGTTCTACCAAGAAACAATATCGCTATTCCAAAACCAGCGAAAGAAGTGGAGAGTGGCGTTAGATAATATCACAATTAAACAAAGAAAAACCGTGAACATAATATAAACAATGGAATAAATATAATTATATTATAATTATCTATAAAACGGTATTACAAGGTCAAAAATGCACGGGGATATCGAAATGACAGCAGTTGCGGTGTCCTTACACCGGTGTATTACGCAGCAGAAGTAAAGATCGTTTATTTTGTAACAAACGCTGCATTAATAATCTTGGCTTACCTCGAGAATTCCGCAAAATAAAATTAAATGGACTTCATAAAGCACAACCGTAAATACGTATTACCGAGTTATGCAACGCTCAAGGCGTAATCATGGTTGCATACCTAACATGTCACAGACAATAAACAAGTCGGGACTACTACTAGGGTGCGTTCTCAATCTCATTGTTCGCGGGCTGTCTGGCCGTACACAAAAATTTATTTTTAGACATCTAGCACTTTACATACAGTACAGGTTTCCGAGTAACAAAGAAACGAGCATTAGTTTCATTGCTCCGTAATTACTGTCAACATATGGCATCGCGCGGTCTCACAATTTATTTATCCATGAAATTTGTCAGACTTCGGCGAAACCCGAGTCCGTAATGCACTGGGCTCTTTCTTATCTGCATATAAATTATCTGGATGGTAAAAAAATATAACTGCGTAGTGCGATAATCGTTTTTGTTTCTTTCAGGAACGTCACGTGTTGAGCGTTTACATTATCACAGGTTTTTTAAATGCAGCAAATTGACTTTTATCCAAAACTTTATCTACTTTACATATTTAGTCAACAAAAAAGTCGAATCTTTTAATCCTCTAGTCTCTTTTGATTGGTTCAATATTCAGATAAAATATACACTGTTGTTTAAAACTTTACATATTTTTTATTTATATTCATTATCTTATTTTGGTCTAGTTACATTTTAGATGCAAATCGTATTTGTTATTTTTTCACTGATCTTTTGAATGCTATTCAAAAGGTCAGTGAATTTTTTTTGCGTATATTTTTATTGACGTAACGTTATTCACTTTTAATATTTAAGTAAATGATTTATTAATAATTTTCTTATATTCTAGCATAATAAAAAACTGCCATAAAATATATTTTTCGACTTTAGAGTTACATATTTTCTGTAATTCATGGATATATAGCAATATTATAAGTTTTGGGAATAAATTGAGTTTTATGCACAATTTTATCTACCACTTACTGATTTTTTTTATCTTACATATATAACAAAAACCTAAATAGTTACCTATTTTCTACTCATTATTCTAATTATTTTTCACCCATTATCAAATAGTAGGTATTTCTATGTTCTATAATTTATGCTGTTTTTTATCCTATCTTTTGATTGCTGTTTTGGTCTATTTTTTAATTTATTCATTCATAGACATATTGAGATATTTATTTTTTTGGTGCAACAGTTCTCGATTTTTTTATAATTTATTTTTGTTAAGAAATATTTAAATAAATGATTTTGTCCACAACTTTTTTTGTAACTTCCGTGATACGTTTTTTAAATTTATGAGTAATGTGTATTTTGTCATACGATTTTTTCGATTAAAAAAATTTTAAACCAACACCAGTTTTCAATCTGAGGCTAAGCAAACAATTTCCCAGATTGAAGAGCTCACTATCAACAAAAAAGGCACGCGAGTGAAAATAATTTTCCATGGAAAACAATTTTTTACTAAAAATTTACTTAGAATTATTTTCACGGAGCGTGCCTTGGAAATCGTGCAAAAAGGGGGTGCGACGGCCTGAAAACAAAAGACACGACACACACCCACCTCCGAATCGTCAGTTTGACACCAACCTGGTTCCAATCTTGTGCGTGGTTCACAATGGCCGTGATAGAGATCTTCGTTTCTTTGCAGTTCGACGATTCCGAGCTGGTCCTTCTGCGTGGAGATCGAGTAACTGAATTGGCAGTCAGAGATGAACTCGTAGAGGCGGCGTCTTGACTAGCGGCGGCTAGCCATGCTATATTATTAAGGAGATCCGGAAAATTTGTTGAAGAAATCGAGGTTGTCGCTGACGATTCATCTCGAGATCTCAGTCTGCTTGAAGCAGGAGAACGCACTGCAAGCAAGAACAATAATAAGCTAATTACATCTCGACAGACACTTTTACCACACTAGCTAAGCCCTCGGTTACTGCTCGCTTGTCAGGGTGAACTGGGAAATAATGTCTTGTACAACATAAGTATTTACATTGACTTCGAAAAATTATATGCAAAATAATTTTCCACCAATTTAAATTTATCACTGAATTATCAACAAAGTGGTTTTAAAAGAGAACTATGTTTTCAATAGTGAATATTATCAGAATTTAACCGTATTTTACCGCTTTTTCTCGAAAAAGGTATTTCAGTAGCTACAAAATGATTGATGGATTAACCCGAATACTTTGTGGTGCATAACTCGTTAAAGATTATAAGAGTTGGCCCCAAAAGAGAACTTTGTGGTTATCTCTAAACATAAAATTGAAACGGTAATTGTGGTTAGGTAGCAAGCACATGAAATAATTCAAATCTATTTTACGTTTCTACAAAAAAATATATTTTCATCAAATCATATCGACGGTAATTAAAAATAATCTCAGATAACATGGTTGCATTTTGAATCATATCGGTAGGACGGACACGCCACATAGAAAAAAACAGATAAGATCTTATCTCTGGTGGAGGAACTGAAGTAGGTATATTCAGCCAGAATAAAAAAAATATATATTTCTCATTGGACGAAATTCGACACAGAACTGGTCGCCGCGCCGTTTACAGGGTGTGGAAAATTTCGCAATCCAAAGAAAATAAGTTGTGAAATCAACACGCTGTTTTGTTTGTCGTTCTGCATACCTGGTTAGCCCCAGGCTTCGTCGTACGCTACTATATTGTTGCAGCAAACACAGCTGTTTGATTTGCTACTACGTATCGATTGCATATGCACGTTGCAATGCCCAAGGCCACTTGGAAAAGGTTCATTTCACAACTACATTTACCTCAACAGAATCACTATTAAGCCCGCAACGTAATTTTGATTCCGTCCACGAGAATCTAGATGAATTTTAATTTTTCACGTTCAGATTTCAAGTCATGACGAGCCTAGACGACGGTAAATAAAATAACACGTACCGAAATCAAGCCGCTACCTAAGGGATCTTTACGAAAATTAAGATCGACTGATTTAACAACTTGTTAGCGTTAGACCTACAAGACGAAACTTGTTTACGGAAAGTGGGTTAGTGATATGAATTTTTTATTTTAAATTTGCATATCTAAATATGGTTACGATAAGTGAGTCGGTGGTGGGAATAATAATAAATAGTTTAAGACACTTCAGGGTCCATGTGATTCTGTCCATAAAGTGTATAAGAAATGGGCTGGCATATAATTTGCATTTGTATTCTGAGCGTTATGTCAATGACTCTAGCCCGAGGCGTCAGCAAAATTGAAGTCTGTGGTTAAATCCTGAGATTCACGTTCTTTAATCTGGAAAACTAAAGCTAGTCTCGTCCGACCCTGAACTTGCGACAGTGCAACAGGTCCCCGTCTTAGCACTATTTTACCGGCCCAAAAATTGATGCACCTTCACTAGTCTCGTGATACGTGATAGTACTAACCTCTAGTGACAGCGGTCTGGTTCGTCCGAATGGTCGGTCCCCTGGACCTTCTGACGGCTGCTTGAAGTTTCGTGAGAAGTGACTGAAGCTGGTTAATGATAACTTCCACTTCGTTTTGGTCTTCAGGCATGTTGAAGGGCACTGCCATTTTTTTTTCTACCGAACAAAGCAAGCACAATGTTGTCAAACACAATCACGAACTCGCGGGACCGCGGTAAGCGAGACACGTCCACACGCTTCAGAGTCTGAACACAATTTAATACTCCACTCAAGCTCTGCAAGCTACTAAAGCGTCAGCTTTGGCTTTGGGCTTCGCGTCAGTTCGTCTTCTGGCTTTACCCCGCGTGTGTTTCAAGCGACATGCGATCCTATGGCGTACAGCGCAAGGGTGAAACGGGCCCGGGCCGCGGCAGCCAATAAGGGCCCGCCATGGGCGTGTCTACCAAAAACAGAGCAAAATATTGGCCAAATATATTTAGAAATACTATACCTTTGTTATTAGCTAAGACCTGAGATTGATAGTTCACGGCACTAGGTCGAGCTACGTACTGGTTGTATATCCAATTTCAAGTTTTTAGGTCGTGATATGCCTTCCTTCTTCAGTTTAACACTAACTCATGCGAATCAATTTAAAACTGTTTTGGTTTTTTCTGCTTGGCTGAATAAATACATTATTTTGAAAGGTTAGTGATTTGTTTTTTTGCTAAAGTGAAATTTTGGCTGTGCTAAACCAGTTCTGCCTTTTCATGTATTTAACCAGACCCAAGGTCAAACTATACTATACATCTCTAGATGTCACTAAACCAAATACATAACACAATTTTGAGCAACAGGGAAAATTTACACATGAAACAATATCACCACAACGTTAATCATATTTTTATTTACACTTTATTGCATTATGTATCTAATTCTAAAAGAAAAAACACACTGATTTCTTTTGTGAAACGAAATTTATCTTATTTATCTTGTCCTATAAATAGGATAAGATAAATTGAAACAAGTGTGAAATTATCTTTTCGTTCCTTCTAAAATACTAGAATTAAATGCCCTGAAATAATATTTTATGTACTCAAATAAAACCCGGCAGTTTCTTTGAACCGAGTTGTACAGGGATCGTTTATGTTTTGTCTGTTTTTGCGAGTTCCCCGTTAAAATAGTACCGATAAATGCTACAAAGTAACTTTGCAGCACATTTTTACTATTACTGTTACGACTGGATTTTAATTTTTACAAAATTTATTGTCAATTCAAATACAATGTGTAGGTACGATGACTAAGGAAATACTGCCTTTAACTAAATTTTACACTTTTACTATGGATTTTACTGGGTAGTTATGGGTGCGTCATAAAACCATAATGACTATTTAAATGTTGAATAACAATAACCCGAATAAAATTATTTAAAGCAAACAGGAGTCGGAATTTGCATAAGGTTTTTATTGGCAGCTGTAAAAGATTAACGGTCAATATCTTTGGAAATTAAGTAGTTAAATCTTCTTTCTTTACACAGCGAACTGCTTAGAAAACAGATTTTTATTTATTAAAATGGTGGAATAACGACAAGCTGTTAAAGGTGTGGATGTCAAACACCTTGAAGTATTAATTAAAAAGTATAACATGCTTTTGGCTTGCACTATTAAATGCTTGGACACGAAGCTTCGGATTGCGCTTGAATCCAACAAATATATCAACTGAAATTAGATGTAAATTACGCGTTATATTGCCTGGCTATCAGTCAGTGGCACCATAATGTCTACTTCGTTGAATGTCGTACATTTCACATATCTAATCGTCTTTATACACATACATTAATGGCTCATCATATCGCAGTTCAGATAAGCAACAAAAATAAGAGCCTGTGATCTAAAGGAGGGCCCCTTTGCACTTTTTATCACCCTATGTTGTTTTTTAGTTATAATGTAATTAACAGATAAATAAATAAGTTACAGTATCTCCCAACCTTGAAAAGAAAAAATATGAGATAACGCTTGTATGTGTAAAAACGATAAATTATTTTATTTGTCTTTATATAACGTTTGTAATCTGAATTATAGGCAATTATTAAAATTACACCGCAATTAAATAGTTATATTATTTATACAAAGATGACATGTAGCAAATGTAATTAAATAATATTCTCGAATATTAGAAGTCAAAGTTGTTGGAAACACTAATTGTTAGAATATATTAGTGTAAATTTATCCATCTAAATCGTAGTACATATTTATAAATTATTTACGTAGTTGTTTTTGACCGATATCTATTTAATTTATTTCAAACAATTAATTGGATAATTTTCTTGACAATTTGTTTTGATTATGAGGCAAATAACAAGAAGTATTTATAGCAATTTGTCCGATAACTTCACACAATTAAATAATTTTTTATAATTAAAACTGTATTATTGCGAGCAGCAGCGGCGTCCCTAATCCGTTTCAATAATATCAATAATAAAATTGTATCTGCTATTTTTTTTATTACTTATGAAAGTTACTAGGAAAACCTTTAAATTATTTAGAGGTAGAAAACAGAAAGAGGTAAAGGTCATTCGGTACACCTACGCCACTGGAAATGCTCGTAACCGTACGGCTTTATTTATAGTTACACACTCAACGTATTATTACACTGAAAAAAAAGATGCGCCGAAAAAAAAGTTTCAATTACCATTTTTATTATTGGTCTTATACACGCAAAAAAAATCTTGCTTCAAATGTACAACATTTGATTTTAAAGTATCGCAGGTTTGTTTATATATACGCAAGGAAATGTTTTCTTCCGTCAAAAAAATTATTTATTTATTTAAATACTTTAAATTTCTACCCAGAAATATAATTTCTTACTTTAAAAATAGGCAGCATTTAAAATAAATATTTTATACTTACGGTTAAACGAATTCTATTCTTAATTTTGTGATCTATATAGATTTTATAGAAACATGTTTTGTATTGTATATTAATGTATCGTATCTTTATATCGATCCAGCTGCTTTATTGTTGTTACTTACAAGGAGATGTGTACACCGTAAGTGGCTCCATCTATCGTGCTACTTCCCACCTACGCCATTCTGTTACCTGCTACAATTTTCTTTCAAGAAAACATAAGTTTGATTATAATATGCTACATTTGTCTTGAATAATTCCTACATTAATACTCCATTTTAAATATTTATATATTTTTAGGAACTGGTAGTTTTGAAACAAATATGTTTACAGTTTATGATGAACTGTAAGAAATATTGTAGCTAAAATCCGAGATAATAAATTTCAAAACTATAAAAAAATTAAATTAAATTATACATATTTACAAATAATATAAATTCTAAGAAATTTTATAGATTACAGCAAATATTTCACATAATTTGACGAAAGTATATACATTTGAATAAAATAAAATAACATTTACGGCAAATAATTCCATTTAAAACTACATATCTGTCAATTTGATACAAATACTTTTTTTTCAGTGTAAAGCTACTATTAGATGTCACTACTTTATCTTATAGTCACATATAGACACATTGATGAGGATTAATAGACCAAGATTTTTACAATATCTAAACCCATAAAATGTTCATATTAGATCTCGATATGAACATTTTTAAGTCAAATTTTTCGTTATGAATTAATAGAGATGTAGCTGTGCAATTACTTTATTTTTGGAGCTCGAGATTGCATAAAAAAATTACTATGAGCAATTTTTATTCATAAAAACATAACTAGCGCCCTCTATTAATAACTTAATAGCTGAGTTTAGATTCGGATTTCCCGCCAACAACCCCCCCCCCAATCCGAATTTTCAAGTTATTTTTCTAAAACTAAAATTTATGAAATGAATAATAAATCTAAAATCAATGTTTAATACCCCTAATACCTGAATTGTATTTAAAATCCTATTTGCAACAAAAAGTTCCTACAATTTTTTAAATAAAAAATAATAACTTGAAAGTAACTCATTTTTCGAATACAGTGCAACAGATCTTTTTTACAATACAATAATTAGAAACCAAGTGCACTGTTTTCTGATGATTCTGAGTGATTTTGTTACAATAAATAAACGATATATTACTTCAAATAAATCATTTGTTTACAATAAACTGACACGAACTTTTTGTTTTACTTTTCCATGTAATTTCCAATCTGGAAGTGTTTTTACAGTTTTTTGTTTACCTTGTGTATGTACACGATTTTAATAGCCTGTTTAGTTCCTATAGCATTGCATTTTGTTATAATAAATAAACGATTCATTTATTCCAAAATCCAAATAAATATTTATTAAACGAACTCAAGTAAAAATGAATTGGTTTTTCAGCGTACGCTTATTATTGCGACACGTTATTTATAAATGTACTGGAATTTAAACGTACGGTATTTACAACACTACTTGCCAAAAATTTTAGCGATGTTTCGAATAATTGGACAACAGGAAAAATATGTTTAGGTCAGTGAAGTTGGTGTCACCGAAGTGGAATCAAAATAAAACTGTGTGCATAAAAAATAATCGGTAATTTACATTATTACTCAAGCACCGCGTGACTAATAATAATAATAATAATAATAATAATAATAATAATAATAATAATAATAATAATAATAATAATAATAATAATAATAATAATAATAATAATAATAAATTATTAGCATTAATACTGAATATTTTACCAATATTGGTAGAAAGTTTCTATGTCGCGAGGTCAAATAAAAGTTGCAACACAAAAATGTTCCCGATAGTCTCATTTGCGTGTATCTGTACAACTTGTTTAGCAGAAACAAAAGTTTTATCGCTGCCGATGGCTTTTAATGCATGTTTTGGTGGGATGTTAATGACACCATAACCGACACAAGGAAGAAAGTGGTCAGAGGTAAACGTATTACAAAACCTGAGCCTGAATCATCTGCTATGATTCACTATCTCGGGCTCCCTCTCCTCTCAAACAAAATGCACATACCTGCCGGTGATCAGATAACATTACTAATACATTTTTTTTGCTGTTTCGCTGCGTACAAGCCCTATGACTTATTGCTTGCAAGCGAAAGTGTCGGTTGGTTGTTCGGAACAAAAACAAATACGGTACAGTTAGCGGTACGATTCTTGGACATAACTGTACCTGCTTATCTAAGAAAGCATTAAGTAAAAGCAATAGTTTTAAGTATTTTCGATTTCTGATCTGGGTAAAGGTGCTATCGCACAAAAACAATAAGAGGTACCGTTATGGTCTATAGCTAATATATGTTCTCGATAAGACGCAATGT